ATAAACTAAAACGTGAGGAAATTCAGTGGTTAAGGGATATGTTGGACAGCAATCGGCATGCATAGAAAATAACTAGGAAAGATAAAGACTGCATCCCTCGGCCGCCCCTGGCACATCCGAACCGGGTGCGAGGTCCCTCTAGGTCAGGTGCCGCCTTAATGGCGGTAGCCTCGTAATGTGAATTTAATGTATGGTAAACTCAATGAGGGTCTCGATCGGAAAGGAGTGCGTCGATCGAATGATTTGCGATTTGAGATCGAGCCTTTGCGGAATCGGCCCAAACAGATTATTGGATTTAATTTTGAGAAAAGTTTCGAGACAGGCGAGAGAGGGTGAAGGTCGTCATACGATAGAGCAGCTTCGGGAGTTTTGGTAGGCCTGTCGAAACCGGACAGCCGACAGCCGATAGGGCTGCGTTCGGCTGTCCGCGGCATAGCGGTAAGACCGCTATGCATTCCGTTCGGGAACGCGATTGATTGGCTGTGCTTCGATTAGTTATTACAGGATATTTATGCACCGTAGGAAAATATAGTACCGGACTTCTCTACTCCTTTTTCATCAAGGATAGCCCTGTATAAACCGTGACTACCATTTCTGTTACACCCTGTATATCTCTGAGAGATCAAATCGTTTTTGTGAGAGTATTCTCGGAATTGGATCCAATTTTACCACGTCGATATGGAGACCCTAAGGTAGGTCCTGAAACTCATGAAATTTCATTTTTTATGTAAACACTTTTTATTTATCATGGACTCGAACCAATATGGCGTTGTCCGTGCACGATTTTTATGTTTGACGCTTTCTGAAGGCTTAGAATCGAAAATGAAGAGTGTTAGGACCTAGCTCGAACAATTTAGAATACTATCGAAATGGAATATTACAGAGTGAAATGGGAAGATATAGACGATTCTTTCATAAATGATTGTAAGAAATACTTGCCTATGGATAACTCGTGTTTTTAGAGCAGCAATGTAATTGCAGCAAGCATCACCGATGGCTCCATTGGTTCATCGGAGTATCAAAAATCATGAATCCACGAGATTTCAACAGTTGTACTTTGAACGCTATACAATTATTCTAATAAAATGACATATGGGACGCTCCATTTCGTATGATACTTACTGTAGAGAGGAACAAACGTCAACATAAATACAAATGTTAGTAGAGCGGTGCGATAACTTATGTACCACTTGAGTATTAAAAATGGCGTTACCACCAAAAAGGGTACAGATGAATTTTATCGACGTCAATTCAATTTCTACATGCTATTCATATCTCCTTGAGGAGATGTGAAAGTGGCATTTGAAAAGTCACTTGTACATGAAACTTTTCTCTGAACTGGGTGTACTGAATCGTTACAAACATCACACGGCAAAAAGTCCGACACTCATAAAATTTCATTTTTTAATAACAAATTAAAAAAATGTCTGTAAACAAATTTAAAAAAATTTGAAATTTCATGAGTTTCAGGACCATTCTTATACCCTCCATATTTATATTGTACAGGGTGAACCGATTCATTACAGTCAATTTGGAGAAAAGTTTCACGAACGATGACTCATTGACGACAAATGTCACACAACTTTGATACCAAACGGTCAAAATATTTATAAAACTTTTCTCCAAACTGGGTGTACCGAATTATCTGAAACTTTAACACGTCATTAAAGAGGCCCTAAGGAATAACGCATTGCCCATGAAATTTCTTTTTTCGAAAAAAATGTACTTATCTCGAACAACAACGAAAAAAAAGATATATATATTTTTTTTTTTTTCGAAAAATGAAATTTCACGGGCAGCACGTTCTTCCTTAGGGCCTCTATAATCACGTGTTGAGTGTGTAGTCGATACCTAATTTGTTTCGTATATTGGGCGCTGTTATTGAGATACCTTTCAATTATTTTCCAAACTAAGTCCTGGGGCGCATGAATCTTTCGAGTGGTACTCGTTTCGCCACAAATCAGTTTGGGTACGTAAAATAGGACACATCGTTATTGCACGTACAAGCTGTGGCACCTCTTTATATTAGACACATAATTTAAAGCAGGTTTCGCCTTCGAAATCTTGAAAATATATCCGTTTATGGTGAGATGACGGTCTTAAAAACGTGAATAGCCCAAGTGGGTAACCCCGAGAGAGAGACCTGTCACAAGCTGTGTCCGATATGAAGTGCTGGCACAACCGATGTGTCCGATAGCTGCGTGTTCAATGCTCTGTATTTAAACAGATTTAGGGAGAAACTGGTCCTTTCCATCTTTCATCGATCGTTTTCGCCCGACATACATATGAACCTGTGTACTACAGTGATAGTTTGTAACAAATGTATACAACGTATTCTCGAATAGTAAAACCTGAAATTGGAAAAGTCGACAAAATTTGAAGTCGAAACGTCCTCTTTGACTTATCTCTCACGTGATTATTTATCGTGTTGTATTAATGATGAAATTTGTTCTAGCGCGCGTCCTGGTATACAGGTGCTCTGCATTACCCGAACACTCGTTTCTTATTTTATGTGACTTTTCAATGTACACTCGGTTCATTATGAAACCAATTATTAACAAATAATGGTACTAATTTGAATGATAATATTTGCTTAATTAAAAAATAGTATTTAAGTACGTATTAAATAACGAATTAATGAATTATTGCTGAGTCTTAATTATTGCTGGCAAAGCTGCGCGGCCGACTGTAGTCCCTTTACTCGAGCCAACTTCTCCGTTATAGGCATGCAATGGGCAGCCGAATACGATGGCTCGACGGCCACGACTATTGCACTCATAATATCGAATCATATTTTCTTTGAAATAAACATTTAGCGGAAGATCGCGAACGAGAGAATAACGATTCTATTCACACCAATTTTAGGCATCCTGAGTTGGTTGCCACAAAGGTATTACAGTACTCGATATACGACGAGATCAATTTCAATTCCGTTGCCACCTTCGCCTCGATATCGCTGTTTCTTCCTGGTAGATGGCGCCCGCGTTGGCGCCGGCATGATTCTTTTTTTTTTTCACGACTAATGGCACCAGCTCCAGATTTTCTTAGAATTTCCAAACAATTTCATCAGTTATTATAAAAAAGCTGATACAGCGATTCTGATCGTACGTCAAAATTCGAATTGCTATACCTTTGCATAGGTACTGCCATGGAGACTAGAGACCAGGAGAACAAACAATGTCATATCGGGTGAAGATCTTTCTTTGTTAGGCGGCGCCACAATCGTACCGATACGACTGCTTGAATAAAGTGCGGGTATGGATTTATAAACATACTTGATTGTTTTCTATGAAGAAAAAAATTGTGTGATAGGACTGTACACCTAGTAGTGGGGATGACTTTAGTTGTACCAGTTTACTATACAGGGTGTAACAGAATTCATAGTTACGGTTTATAAGCGCTATCCTTGTTGAAAACGGAGCCGGAAAGTCCTATACTGCATAATTTCATGTAATAACTAAGGGAAAAGCACAGCCAATCGATCGCGTTCCCGAATGGAGGGCATAGCGGAGAGAACGCCGGTAAAGCTGCTACGCCGCATACAGCCGAACGCAGTCCTATCGGCGTTCTCTGCGTTATGCCTTCCGTTCGGGAACGCGATTGATTGGATGTGCTTGACTTAGTTATGACAGGAAATTAATGCACTCTAGGAAAAAAAATAGTATAGGACTCTTCGACTCCTTTTTCAACAAGGATAGCGCTGTATTAACTGACTACGAGTTCTGTTACACTCTGTATATTTCAGTGTAGATTGTTTACTGTCAGGGTCGCGTGATCACGCTTTTCTGCTGCTCTCGGCGGAGAATGCGGGCGGCTCGCGCACTCGTAATGGTGATGCCACCTGACGGCCGTCAGTGGCGGCTCGTGCACTCACGATGGACGTGCCATCTGACAGTGCCCGATGGCGGTTTATCTTCATGTAACAGTGGGTGGCACACACACATACACACACACACGCACATTGTTGCTTCGAAGCGCCGAACGCAGAGCATTGAGCATGTGTACAGTGCTCACCGACGAACTACATGCAGCGAGCTGTCCGAGCGTTATCACACCGGGAATCTTCGTGTATTCCGACCAGCCGTGGTCGATAATTAGTTACACGGTACGCATCTTTTTTATTTTGATCTTTTGTTGAACATTTTACGACACGCTTATGCTCCATCTCAGTCTGAGTATCTACAAGCATTAACAAGATATATAAATTGTTTAGGGTATCCGTTTGAACGATGTCAAATTTGACAGATCCGACAATGACTTTTGGTCCTTTTCCGGTAGGTCTGCCGTCTACAGAGTAATCTTCAAATAATGTTTTGGATCCTTTTATGCGGATGCGTGACCCATCAAAGATCCTATGCAGTTCATCCTGCTGGTCTCTGGTCTTGACGGTACGACCGATCAGAGTCGGGTAAATTAAAAAAAAATTCCTGCGCCCCCCTTTTTTATTTTTATTTATTTAATAGTGGGTCTAGCGCTCATTTGTCTTTCTGTAGCAATGGAGAGAATATATTGCGATTTCCCTCATTCCTGAAAATTGGATCTTAGGTGTATAGATAGTCGATAGCGGCGCGTTCTAGCTTAAGCGCGCAAAACGCGTTTCGCTCGACATGCAATTCCACGAGTTTCTTGATTTCCTTTTTTTTTCTCTCAAAAAGGGAATTCGTAATGTCTCTGTAGTTGGCGAGATTTTTTTCTACGGATGTCTTTGCAGAATTTATAACTTCGGAGTCATTCAAGTTTTGTTGGTGAATTATTGTAATTATGAAAAAAATAATTAGTCTAATAAGTAACTAAAAATAATATAAAAGTTATTTAAGTAGAAAATAAGCATTCGGGTAACGCGGGGCACCCGAGTACACCAGAGCCGTTATTGGCTCGTTTGAATCCCGAACCTGGGATTGACCGACATCGATCGTTAATAACATGGTAAATAATCACCCGAGCGAAAAGTCAAAGAGGAAGGTTCTACTTGAAATTTCGTCAGCCTCCACCAGTTTCAGATATTACTGCAAGTCAATTGGTTGCACCGATGGTTCGTACCGGACACATGTACCGGCTGTTCGTAACGGGTAAAGGTTGTTGTTGTTTTAACTACATTTTTCACGCCTGATAAATCTTATATTTTTCTTTTTCTTTTTCATAGGTTAGCAAAAATGGTGAGCAATTCGGGAAGTGCTCCTCGAATTATGGTTTTCACCCCGACATTTGAAGAATTCAAGGATTTTACAAAATATGTAGAATACATGGAAAGCAAAGGCGCGCATAAAGCAGGTTTGGCCAAGGTGATCCCACCACCGGAATGGATTCCTCGAAAAGGTGGATACAATTTAAATGATTTAAATCTTTCAATCCCTGCACCGATCTGTCAAGTGGTCACTGGGAAGCAGGGGCTCTACCAACAAATCAATATCCAAAAAAAGTCGATGACCGTCAAAGAATACAGTAAACTAGCTAATTCCGAACGCTATAATACACCACGTCACTTCGATTACGAAGATTTGGAGAGGAAATATTGGAAAAACATTACTTATGTAGCACCTATATATGGCGCCGATGTATCCGGCTCTTTGACCGATCCCGATGTTAAAGAATGGAACATCAATCACTTAGGAACGATACTCGATTACGTTAATAAGGATTACGGCATATCGATAGACGGAGTGAATACGGCATACCTCTACTTCGGAATGTGGAAAACTACGTTTGCTTGGCATACCGAAGACATGGATCTCTATTCCATAAACTATCTGCATTTTGGAGCGCCTAAAACGTGGTATGCTATCCCACCGGAACACGGACGGCGGCTGGAGCGACTGGCAAGCGGTTTCTTCCCGTCGAGTTACCAGAGCTGCCAAGCCTTTCTTCGGCACAAAATGTCTCTGATCTCACCTCAAATACTTAGACAATATTCTATTCCATGCAACAAGGTATGACTTTCCGATTACTTGCACTCGGAGAAATTTAAAGTACCCATTATATAAATTCGGGCCATATTCCCACATTTACAGCTTAACTTCGCGTATATTCGCTCTGATGCAGTTTGACGACGGTGGAATCAGCTCAAAGTGGATCATGTCCCTCTCGGTGACGCGAACGTGGTTTACCTTATATTTCCTACCATTTCTATGCTCCGTTCCCTAATTTTCGCCCCTACGGTCGCTTCGAAGTCTTGTTTCATGTAGTCGAAATAGGAGGAAGGTATATGAAAAATAACGACAAAAAGTATTTAGCCAAAAAATTATACGAAAATCGCACGAACTCATGGGCCAACCTAATAGTATTCATCATAAATGTCATTGAAATTATATTATTATGACAACGTTATTAATAATCAGGATAAATATGCCAAAGTTTAATATTGTCCACGATCCTCAATGATCCTCATAGAAGTACACTCGCTGTACTTATATATTTATTCGTTTGAACGTCTTATAAACTATCAACTATCATAATTACAAATAAACTTAAATCTATCTTAATCTAGTTCGATACAGATATTTTCACGACTATCCCGTTCTTGGTGACATTTCTTTTATACGTAAGTGTTGATTTAGAGGAATTAGGATTTACCATATCCGAGATCTTCTTAACGAAGGCTTAAAAACTGTTGTACAATATGAATACTTACGCTTTTCACTATTCAGGTTCACAATTTAATCAGAATTTCTTCATTTTGTCATTTTGATGAAAGATCATTTGTAGATTACTGTTGTTGTTAGTTTCTGAATCAAGTAAATTCATGTAAGGGAACCCAACAGTGTTTCACCATGTTTACGTCAGTGGTATTTGGTTATTGTAAAAATACTGTAATCCGTGCATATGTATGGGCATCGTTTAGATTGTAATATATAACGTTTAGAAAAATAATTGTGTCATATCCAACATCTGTAGAATTTCATAAATACTTTGACAAATTTCTGTAATAATAATTCAGGAAAGTATTTAATTGTATTTAATTTAATTTTTAGATAACCCAAGAAGCGGGAGAAATAATGATTACATTTCCCTACGGATATCACGCAGGGTTTAATCATGGATTTAACTGTGCCGAGTCTACCAATTTTGCTGCACCAAGGTGGGTAGAATATGGAAAGAGGGCAACGCAATGTACGTGTAGTAAGGATATGGTGAAAATTTCCATGGACACATTTGTTAAACGGTTTCAGCCAGAGAGGTAAGAATCAGTATTTTCCTTCTATATTTATGTATTAGGGAGACCGGAAAGAAATACATTATTTTTATACTTGAAGTTTGGGGCAGAAATAATGGATTTCTTTCCGGGCCCCCGTAATATATACGTGATCCATAATGGTCCGTATTTTCTTTGGTGTGTCTAATTCCTTGAAAAGGAATTGAAATAAAACTTATGTGATAATTTATCATAAATAGTGTACTTTTCGAGTTATTGTACTTTGAAAGAACCTACTTACATAATGGCCTCGATTGATTGGTAAAAACACCCCGAAGTTCAGGTTATATGGAAGGCAAAGAGCAACCTCGTTATCCTTTTATTATCGATACATCCCTCGGCAATCCGAGCCCTCGCGCCAACGACCTATATAAATATAAATGTACGTCTGCGTAGGACCCAACCGAGAAGCCTACGTATCCATTTGCTTTTTCATTCAAATATTTGAGTCTTTGTACATCGCTAAATCGAAGGTGTGATTTCTCCCACTGGGACGTCACGGTAGGTCCTGAAACTCATGAGATTTGATTTTTTATCACAAAAATTCCATTCATTATGGCCTAGAACCAAGTCGACGTCATCCGTACACGTTCTTAATGTTTTACGCCTTTTGCGCCTTTTGCGCCCTTTGAAAGCTTAGAATGGAATGTTACGAAGTCAGATGGGAAAATATGGAGAACACCTTCACGAACGATTGTAAGTCTAGCTTGTCCCGTTGGTAATGCGTTTTTATAGAGCAAAATATTAGTTGCAGCTAAACGTCATAAATGGCGCCATTGGTCCATTAGAGTACCAAAAAATATGAATCCACAGGATTTCGACAGTTTTACTTCGATCTCTTTATAGTTATTTTACCAAACGGACACGTGGATCGCTTTAGTTCGTATAATTCTCAACGTAAACTGTAGGAGACTTCGCGTACCTATAAATGTAGGTAACGTGGCGCGCCAGCATATGCTACGACTTGAATTATCCAAACTTTCGTTACCACCAAAAGGGGTACCGATAACATTTATTTTACCGACATCGATTCAGTTTTTCAGCGCATTTCGTATTCGTGTAAGACTACTGCTGTCTTCAATCCGTATTGTCCCAAAGGTGTTTTCTTACGAAGATTATTTCGCAGGAGTTAGTACTAATCGAGTGATTGGAACAATAAATGGGGCGCTCTTAATTATTATTAATATTTCTAGAATATCGTTTCCTATTTTATTTCTCATGTTTTCAAATGTTTATTAAATTTCGAATTCGTCAGGTACGAGTTATGGTTGCGCGGTGAAGATATCGGGCCTCACCCGGAGGATCCGAGACAAACTGCCGCTCCGATGCCATCACAAATGGATTTACTTTGCAATAGTAATAGCAACGGAGAATTACCTCAAAGTTACTTAAGTGCTGCACCAAAAAACAAGCGACATACGATACACCGTAAAAAAAATATTGCTGATACCAACCCCGATGTTGATATGGAAGAATTGGTGAATCGTCCCGATATTCCACCAGACGTTAAAAAAGTTCTTCAAGATTTGGAGTTGGAAGAAGCCGATGATCCACCGGACGAACAACAGTTGGAGGTTTTAGAAGACATTTGGTTAAAGGCCGGAGAAATGGGTAAGTGGAGTTTTATGAAGTTAATTTACGCAAGCGTTTGTTTTGTGAAATTCATACAATTTCAGATGTAGACGAAGCCAGTGTCTTCGACGATGGATATAATCGTAAAAAGAGCCGAAAGAGAAAGAAAAAACAGCAGAGCACATCGGAGAAGGATCGACGTGACTCAAAATCAAGAAAAAGTTCCGTTGGCAAAACTGTTATCAAATTGGAAAGCAACGCTACCGAAGCGGAAACGAAGTCAAATAAATGCGAGGACATTATTGGTGATCCCGTATCTTGCCTGGTTTTATCTGAATTGAAGCATGAATTGAAGCGTGAACCGAAGGAGGAGACATCCGAGGCACTCATAGAGAAAACTGCCGCGGAGCTTATAATCGGTTCGACATTGAGAGATGATATTAGCAATGTCGTAGCCAGTACAACTTCAGAACTCTCGGATTCTAATAAATTTGCTAAAAGGAAAAAGAAACATTCTAAGCACAGTGAACAGAAGAAATGCAAACAAAAACACTCATATAAGAGCAAACGAAAGATGCCGGACTTGTCCATTTTTAGCCCAACGGAACCTCTGGATGTATCCGATGCGGATGTACAAAGGAAACTTATTGCTATGCCTAGTCTTAATATTTATAAAAGTACCACTACCAAGGACATGTCCACTAGATCCAGAAAGATTAACATGCTGCCAGGGAATATAATTGCCGTAGGGAATGAAATTAGTATGACTTCCATAAGAAACAAGACCGTTGTAAATATCACAAATGGTAGTCAATCTTCAAATGCCTCTCATAATATCGAAAAGGAAACGGAAAAAATTAGAGATACCGATGTAGACGAATGCGCTACGCTTATTCAAATAAATAAAAATACCCCGCGTTCTACCAGTGACCTACTGTACAAATCGGAGTTTCCAAAATCTCAGACGAAGAACACAATGTGCAGTCTGAAAAGCAAATCACTTAACTCGGACGAGCGTTGCCCTGCTATACGGGTTGCTGAAATTCCATCCATAACCACGCCCATAACTGCATCGTTATCCCAAGTATCCGCGAGATCGTTTAATTTGCCAAATTATTATAAAAGCTCTGGGACTACACCGGCCGGCGTACCCGTTCCAAGTTACACCAGGAAAGATATTATAAAGGCGCCAAGACTCAGCGTCTTGCATGAAAGACTTGACGGGCAAGAGTCCCAAAGTATGCCAAAATTGAAAGTTGAACAAGTCGCGGAAGATGAAAAAGACATTTGTAATGCTGTCGATGGTTTATTGGTGTTGCAACAGAAATCTTGGAAGGCATTCCAGGATCCAAGAATTAGTCCCAACACTAGTGTTACTTTTCTTCCAAGCAGTAGTTTCTCAGCGCGTCCGCAGACTGTGAAAATTGAGCCCCCTGTACAAATTCCAGAGGTAACTTATCAACTGACGGATAACAGAGAAAAGTTAGATCGGCCGAAACCTCTTAACGCACGAATGGGTCATGCACATGCCATAGAAAAGACAGGTAAGCCGAACTATTCTACATTTGGCCAAGGCAGCAAGCCGTTTTCGAATCCGTTTAATTATAACCCCGGTTTAGAGACTGCGTTAACTTCCGAAACAAGAGCCGACAAACCGAAGTCTACGCAAGAGACGAAAGGTATGGCTCAGCGGTTTTGGCAGTTTCAACACGGTAACAAAGTGTTTTTCGCAAATGAAGATAACGCTAGACCTAAGCAGTACCAAGTATCGCCGTCCCGAAATCAAGGGACGATTAAAATTTCGACAACTACGATTAACCGAAGCAATCTCGCCGCCATAGGGCCTCAAAAGCTCACTATAGCGAAATGTACAAAAGTTTCTGCGGGAGTTCAAGCGGGGTCTGTTTCCCAAGATTCTGGCATGAAAACCCAAATTGCCGATGTATTACCTTCTTTAAGTTTACCTTCATCCTGCTTGAAGATAATACCTAAAACTTCGGAGCAGACAAAAACTTCAGCAAATCCAACAATGGATAAGGTACAAACGTATAGGAGGCTTCCAGTCAAATTTACAAATGTTAGGTGTTCCGACAGTGTTCCCTGTCAGGGTAACGGCAAGCCCGATAGAGTGAAAACATGCCCGGCATCGGTTGACAATTTATCGTGTATGGAAACCACCCAATGTGAACTGGCAAGCATAATTAAAATTGATTCCGGTGCTGGTGAAACGAAGTCTCCACCTTACCCACCAATTAGGCCCAAATCCACTCTGCACAGAGGGATGCCAGCCGAGTCATGCTTGACAATGGGTAACGTACAACTGCAAGGCATCTCTGATTCTACAATGGAAGACTGTTCCGTAACGTTATCGAAACAGATGAAACCTACGTCAACGAAACGAAAGGCCAAAGAAAAATTAAAAAAGAATACCTCCAAAAAGAAGGAGACCTCTTCTCACATAGACTTCCCTACGTTAAGTTTAGAAGAAGAGCCTGTTAGCGCTCTTATTGAGAAACCGGGTAGCACAGTAACTCCTACTTTTCTCACACCTGGGCACATATCGGATATGCTTTATCCCAGTGTTCCCGATATTAGCTTATTGCAGGCTTTTAATAACTATTGGAGCTCTCAGGCATCACATTGCGCGGTGTGCACAACGTTCGCTTCGACGAGAAGTTGGCGTGGGCGACAAATGCCGCCAGACTGGAAGTATTGCAAACCAACTGTCTTACCAAAATCTTCTCCAATATGGGTAAACATTATTTTCATCGTTATCGATATAAGAGGAGATTATAGATCGTAGAAACTTCATCGAACCAATAGGACGGAATGTGGCTGATCGACACGTATACAGGGTGTCCCAGAAGTAGTAATCCCCAAGACTAGAGGGAATTGGTGATATTTGAAATCGAAAGTTCCGTTACTATTATTTCTTAAAATGATTATCTACCGAGTTATTACCCATCCCAGATGCGCCATTCAAACCCGACGGGGTCGGGGCGCGGCGCTCGGCTCTAATAATTACGTTCATTCAAAATAATAATTATTTATTAAATAAATCAGTCAAAACACCTTCGGTGTAAAATAGACTTGTGGCAAATATGGTCTTTTGCACGGTTACATCTTCAAACTCAAACCTATGAATTCTGTAATGAAATTGTTTGATCTACGTCAAGAGATAAGAGATACAATTAATCTGCCTACCAAAGCAACGACATCTGTTACTTTGGCCAAATCCGCCCAAAATAAAATACAAGTTTAAAATGAAAATCTTTGGGAAGCCCCATAATATACTGATACTGTAATAATATTTATTGCGCCTTAATTGTTTACATTAAATTAAGTCAAAGATGTAATTTGTGTTTTATAATCCACAAAGAATTGCCAAAGAGACAAATGATCGGTATTTCCAAAGATCAACACTTGTCTGTTTCTTCCAGATTCGGTATTCTTGCAATAACTATTATTTGATTACGTGTATGAGCCTCAACATTATTTTACAGTACCTTTGTATTTATATCGATAGCAGTATCGAATTATATTGAGTATCATACCAAATGGCACATTCCATACAGGGTGCGGCAAAGGTTCTGGCAATTTTATTTTCCTGGGTCTTCGGCATTGTCAGTTTTCATGTGATTTCATTGAATTCCCTGTGTAATTTTAGTCCGGAAAAAGTTTTACTTATTTCTTTGTTTTCAGTTGTATTTTCGTTACGGTTCTTGAAAATGTACGTATCCCCGTCGTCGTTGAGTCGCACGAGTCAGGAATGAAGACGGCCGACTGTTTCAAACAGAGGGCCGTCCACGACATCGCGAAACGTTTCAAGGAGACAGGAGCAAAAAGTCTCAATGATACGGTATGCCACCGTAGACGCGTTGAAAGTGGCGTTGGCCCGCGCCTGGGGTGAGATTTCGGTGGAGGAGGGTGAAATGTTCGAAAGCGACAACGCGCAAACGTATCGAAGCCAAAGGAGGCAGTTTCGAGTATTTCTTGTACATTTTTCCGTTCAGGGTCAATCATCGATGTTGATTTAATAAAAGTAGTATTATTCGTTCAGGTGTGTGGATACATTTTTGCTGTGTGCAGTATTTTTATACCGTTGAAATACTTGAAATAATTGCCAGAACTTTTGCCGCACCCTGTATTTCGTTTTCCTACAATAATTATAGAGATATCAAAGTGAAACTTCCGAAATCCCCCCGGATTCATGGTTTTTGATGCCCTAATTGACCGTAGAGTAGCACCCTGCACCGTCTGTCATTTCAGTGGCAACTAAATCCCCCCTCCGAGACCTCGTGTTACCATCGTTTTAGCATAGAAGCGTATAAGACACTTTTTTGCCTTTACTTCATTCTAAAGCGAGTTTCTCGATTACTGGAGTGTTCTAAATCGTTGTACAATTGTCCGGACACCTTTGTTTCTCATGTCAGGGCCTTCGATAATTGTACGAGTACGTCGATCGAAATGTGAGAGCTCGACGCCATTTTCGTTCTGGTCTGGGATAAATCCAAATTTCGCTCCAATCGATTTTTATCGATTTTGTAGATTCAATAACCTCTCATTTTTATCTAGTTTTGGTTTTATTCTTTACCGTTATATGCAGTAGTCGTTCTTATACTATTCGACCTTATAGATTTGTGGATGCGTACCGATCAGCCACGTTTATTTAAATGGCGTTAACTGTTTAAAATTGACAATTTATATTATAGTTTAGGTACAATTCATTTATAACAACCTTACTTTTAACCTTAACTTTTTTAGGTCTCATCGACCCTATTTGCTATGAACTCAAAGGAGCAGGGCTTTGAGCCAGAGAACGATACGTTGTTAAATTGTCGGGAATGTCGCGTGACAGTTCATGCATCTTGTTACGGAGTCACTGTACTGCCAGCGGATCTGCAGAATTGGGCATGTGACAAGTGCAAAGCAGGCATGGTACACGTGGTAAGTTCACTTAAAGCCAAACAAATGTATGTTCGATTCAGAGGAGGATTTTATTATATCATTGGAAGGAATTCACTTGTTCTACGAAATTTCCACATTACGTGGTAAATAAATAGCATTCATTGTAAAGTGGACCTCTAAAAGTAAATGGCTCGGAAACGCAGCTTTCCGTCGCTTCATTTGTCAGCAGATTCGGATTTCTGTTCTTCGGCGGGTAAACATCTTTCCCGATCGCGATCGTTTCCAAATATAAGCATTTAGATACCTAGACATTCTTTCAAAGAGTTTCAACACTTCCAATTTCCATTCGGAGTAAGACATATTTTTCTTTAACTCGTCAGTGTTTGTCTGAAAAATTACCCGGATACGTATTTAGTTTTGGCAATAATTCGCTTATTTGACCGAAGTCGATGTGGAAGCGGCGTCAAAGCGGTCCCATTTACGAAACTGCTCTCCGAACTTTGTGTACCGGATCATTTGAAACTTTACAATGTGAATAAGGAACGATTGACTTCTCAGGTGCTACTTTCGCATCCCTTTCAAATTATTGAAACAATTGGTTGAGACATGTTTCTATTTAAGATAGTAAACAAATGTATTTATTTCAAGTAAATGGAAATGGACCAAGAACGGTAATAATTTACTTCAATCAAAAGTATTATAAAGAGTTTGATTTATTCAAAATAACTACAGATAATTTATATCAACCAAATGTTAGTAACGATAACAACACGAAAAAACCTCTTTAATTGTGGTATTAGATGCATAGGGAAGTTCGGTGTCCTCGCAATGAACGTCTTGTAACTCTGATCCAAATTAACAATTTTTTCCCGTCCTATGGTAATTTGAAAGTGTTTATCTTAAGCTTTAAAAAGCACTGGAATAGTTGGTGACATAATCTCAAAATACAGCAGTTAACAAAATGTCCGAAAAGGAGCACTTAAGGTACTGCATTCTTTTTGCTTACCAATTTACACGTTGACTGCCACGTCACCCATATTTGGGTGACAGCAGTCAAATAAAATGCGCGTGGCAGTCAACGCGTTGAAGGAAAACGCTGCCCAGGCTGTTGAAATGATATGTTCCGCTTTGGGTGAAGGTGCTGTAATCCATAAAACATGTTGAAAGTGGTTCCAAAGGTTCCGGGAAGGTAATTTCCATCTTACCGATCAAGTGCGCCGTTGCCGGCGCGGTGGACACTACCCGCTAATTGCTGGTTTTTTTGGCTTTTCTCGGAAAAGCATGAGACCCGAGGGTTCCGCGGGGATCCCCACTTCAGGTAGAGCATTCGCTTATATGAAGGATTAGCCGGGATTTCCAGAAAAAAAAAAGGATACGTGGCGATGAACGGTGGTGGATGGCCGACTTATGTCGAAACAGTACCAAATAGTCAACGCCGAAGTCGCGTCGGTACACCGGTTCTCGTGAGATCACCGAAGTTAAGCGACGCCGGGCACGCGGTCGCTCCTTGGATGGGCGACCATCAAGGAGGGGCATCACGTAACGTTGGCGAAAAAACAATGGCACTTTCGGCCCTTAGTAAAAAGGAAAAGTGCGGATGGAAGTGACACCGGAGGAAGAATAACGAAGATCGAAGAAGCGGCCGTCATGGGGGAAGCCGCTGAAGAGTTACCGAAGAAGAAAGAACGGAGCATCGGACGAGAGAGAAGAACGCGAGATGGAACATCGCAAAAAGACGCACTCCGCCTTCCATCTTGCCGATAAGTAACGTAGAACGGATTGATTTCGGGGTGGACCCGATCGGATGCCTTGGTGTATGGCGCGTTGCACGTCGAGCTTATGCTCCATGTGATCGCGTATTCGCACCCCCGGTCCGGAGGTATACGGCGCGTTCTATGTCGAGCTGTGCTCCATGTTTATGTGTCCGTGTCCGGATCCCGCTGGGTCGTCGGCGGATCGGTACCGTAACGGTCGCTCGATGGCAAGAGCATTAAGATAATTCGGAGCTAATTTAAGAACGGAACATAAAATGTAATTTGGTGAAAGTGATCCTTTGTTTGTCCTTCTTATTTGCCTCCAGAGAAGGGCCCCCGGGTCCGGGTGATACCCGTGCCTTGCCGCTACGGGGGTGCCTAGCCCCGTAACCTAGCAGGGACGAGGTCTGACACTCGGCACGTGCAGTGGGGTACCGAAAAAAGTGGAAGATGAGGAATTAGAACAGCTACCGAAGCAAAATCCTTGACAAATGCAACAGGAACTTGCCGTAAAACTTAGTGTAACTTAACCAGCCATTTCCGTATGCTTAAAGAAGTTTGGAAAAATTTTGAAAGGCAGACCGTTGGGTGCCTCGTGTGTTATCCCCGGAAAACAAAATGAGACGCCGTGACATAGCAATGTCTCTGCTGTTGCGATTCAAGCGAAAGGACTTTCTTCATAATATTGTGACTGGGGATGAAACGCGGGTAATGTATAACAATCCCAAAAGACGAAAATCGTGGGTTCATCCGGGTGGGCCATCGACAAGTATCGCGAAACCGAATATTCACGCTAAACAACTGTTGTGTATTTGGTGGGATTTTAAAGGTGTCATTTATTACGAGTTGCCTACACCCGGTGAAATTGTCAATTCTGAATGCTATCGACCGCAACTCATTCGTTTAAGTAACGTAGTCGAGCGAAAAAAGACCATTTATCGGCAGTGGAGCTAAGCAGATGATTCTGCCGCATGATAACGCGCGGCCGCGCGCGACAAAAGCTACCATGGAAGTTATTTCTTCTTTGGGCTGGGAAATTCTCCAGGCCTTGCCCCTTCCGATTATCATCCGTCCCGGTCGCTTCGGTATCACTCGGTGGATTCCCACTTTCGGTCTCTCGAGGAGGTCAAAAAAGGCATCGATGACTTCACCGAGTCAGAACCACCGTCATTTTACCGAAGCCGAATTCGCCAGCTGCCCGAGAGATAGCAAAAGTGTGTGGAAAATGATGGGGGCTATTTCGATGATCGACGGAATACTCGTTTCTTGTGAATATACACTAAATCCATGCTAAAAAGACACCGAACTTATTTATACACTTAATATTTCTAATTCATTTAAATACTTCTATCATAATGCTCGTTTTATGGTTGTCAGTTTTCCAGTATTTTTTTCAATATGATAAAATCTAACCATTATAGAATGTATCACTTTTTTATAACAATGTATCCGTGAAATATATTTTTTTAAATCATTTTTGAAAGCGTAGTTAAAATTTATAAAATGCGATTTGTTAATTGTGTTGGCAAACGAAACCTCATTTGTTTCTTATTTATATGATGTCTGAAAACTGAATAATACCAATTAAGATTTCAATTATTTTCTTATGTTACAGATGTGCTGTTTATGTCCGATGCGAGGAGGGGCTGTTAAACGAACCAGCGATAGTCGTTGGGCTCATATTCTTTGCGCACTTTTATTACCAGGGGTTACTTTCAAAGACTCCATTAATAAAGATCCCATAAACGTACTGAGCATTAAAACGGAAATGGTTAAACAGCAGTGCTGCTGCTGCAGTCAAAAGGATGGAGCTTGCCTTAGCTGTCATCATTGTGGCGCTCTCTTTCATCCTATGTGCGGACTTGTTGCAGGCGCCACTTTTGATATACCTGCTTACAACACCCAAGAACTTCAGGTACTAACTATGTACTATTCATTTGAACGGTAAATTATCTTTGAAAGAGTCCGTAGTTCGTTTCTGAATTTATAAATTTGATCCAAAAAAATTTCATTGTACATGTATATTTAAGTTGAAATAGCCTGAAACACTGCATAGATATGGAAAAGACGATACAAATTGAAATCTCCCAACTTGACGCTAACGAGCGGCTAAACGGAAGGGTAAACAAAGTGGGCCCGGCATTTAGGTCCACGGTTCCACAATTCAACTTAACCGAAGTTTAACTGATTTACCCCCGGTTTAGACCTGCTGTAAAGTGTTGTAGCATTTTTTGCATATATTTGGATCTTAATTCAAAGTACCGTTTCCATGTTTTTTATTCACTAAACCGAACATACAATGTATTGAAATAATTCAATTTCATAAATATATTTACAGGTAACATGTCATAGTCACGACAATGGAAAGGATAAAATTCCATGTATTACTTCTGGAGAGACAGTTTGGGCAAAGCATCGTAATACACGCTACTATAAAGCCACCGTAGACTCCATAGACGATACTCTTTTCTATATGGTTACTTTTAATGATCACAGCTTCAGCGACGACCTCTATCCAACTGATATAACGGTAACCACTAATCTCTTATCTCTATTCCACCACGGTACTTTTAACCCTTATCTGGCACACTTTTACAGGCGTAACGTAGCTAGCCCCCAAGGCCGTTTGAGACCCCAGTCATGGAAATACTTGTTACAAAGAAACAATTGATTTTGTTTACTTGTAAAAATACTCATATATCCTTTGACACTTCCTTTACCGGGTGCTATAGATTATTTTGTTTGAATTCAATGTTGACTATGGGGAAAAAAAATATATATATACTGAAGGTAGAGAAAACGAAAAAAAATGACGATTTTCACTTAAACCTTCAAAACTATTCCATTTTTTTTTTATATGACACTACAAGTACCATTTTCAAATCATAAGACATAAATTGAGGTTGATCGTACTTGGTACTCCAGTATGCCAGTGAAGAGTTAACACGTTAAGCACGGTATCACGAATCCTATATATAAAAAATTGTGCCGCATGAACGGAAAGCTCAGCAAAATTGGCACCGCACTTAACGTGTTAATGAAATATCGAAGTTCAAGAGTACTTCTATTTCAGAATTATGATCGTCTCAATCCCCCCCCAATTGGAGCCAATGTAACGGTTAATTGGACGGATGGACAAACCTATGAAGGTGTTTTTGAGGGGTTAAATCACCGAGTCATGTACACCGTAAGTTGCTTTCCTTCAGTCATGCGATTATGAAGTACAATGCTGGTCCAATTGACTTAGTATGACTTTTATTCATAAAAGAGAACATACGACATGGACGACATTCTTTATTAGAAGAATTCGGTAAATGTTACGTATAGGAGATTCACCTTCGATCAACTTTACCTTGACATATGTTGTCAAGGTCACCCTCCTAAGTGACCTCCACGAGGTTTTAGCCGTCGCTCGTTGTTTGTTAAAAAGTTATTAAGAAAATCATTTTGATAAGTTGAAAGTACGTTTTCGACACGTGTTCGTTTAAAAACTCGGAACGTAGTATATCGCGTTGTATACAAATATTGATAAACTTATTATTCCGTTGTGACTTTTCTTGTCGCCATTCTGTCAGCAATCGTAGTCGATAACTCGGTAAATATTTATTTAAAAGAAGGTATCATTTTGATTAACGTATTAATGCTTTCTTTGAAATTATGAGTTCGATGTATCCGTTAGAACATAATTAGATAATTAAATATCGTTAAACGTTTCAATTGTACGAGTCGTCCACATTGGAACCGCCATTTGGTTTTTATTAAACTTTTTACTTTGGATTTACAATTAGCAACCCCAGAAACCTTTTAATACTAAATTTCAGCTAAATTGAAAGCATTTCTCGAAAACTTGTTTGCCATGTTGGATTCGCCATTTTGTTTATAAAAGTGCCGATTTCGGATTCGTAATTAGCGACCCCAAAAACGCCCGAGTAGCCTACGCCCCAAAACGCCCGAGTTTCAACTCAGTGGAAAACGTTTTCTATTTCTGACCAACTGTTTGGGATCTGGTCCCACCGGGCGACGGTTATTATATTTCTCGACGGGTTCCACCTCTCCTTAATACTTATCTTCGATTCCTGTCAGCGTCCTATAATAAAATATTTTCGTACATGGTATACATAACATGAAATGGACGGCCGACGGCCCACCGGGTACGCCGGATTCCGCGGCGGTTTCCACGGGAAATCCGGCGTGCCCGCTGAGCCACCCGTTATAAGCTATTATGCAGTGTTTACATGATTCCGAGGAAAAAAACAAAACAAAAATTGAAAAAGATTTTACTCGAATGTGGTAAGATAAAGAAATTTAATGTGACCGAAAACGAACGTTTTTCTAGCATGAATTTAAATTTATCAAAGAAAAGTAAAGTTTTAAGTCTTATCTAATAGGGCATTGTAAAGATATTTCTGTTAAGAGAAGAGATGAGTTTTCACTTTACTTGTGACTTGAATATCTTAATTTATTCGTATTCAGTATATTTGGATGTTTTTCCAGGTGATTTTTGAGGACGGATCGCAACAAATATTAAAACGCAACGAAATCTACAGCTTGCAAGAAGATATGCCGAAGCGAGTTCGGTCGCGTCTGGTGAGTTTAGCTTGAAGTTAAACTACCAAAAGCAAATACATACATTTAGCTTAATGTATATGTCATGAATACCGCTTACATATTTTCTGTAACTAATTTTATTCATTTACTGCTTTCGTTTCCTTTTCATTTCCTGATTTGTTTGCCAAAGTCTGTCGCAACCGAAATGAAGCATCGATATCACCTTTACGGAATCGAGGATGAATTTGAAACCCCAAGAAAGGTTAAACATTCAAAGAAGCATGACTGCGTTACAGCCGAGGTCGATTGCTGAGCGAAGACAATGTGGTACCTTGGCTGTTACATATACTTCTATTTTGTGGTAATTAATACATCTGCCTTCTCTGGTCCGTTAGACCACAAAGTGATTTATATGTACGCAAGTAAAAACGAGATAAGAAGTATATATATATACATTCTTACATAGTATACCTGTTTGATGCATCACAAAAATTTATAGCATTTTTTATTCAATTTCTTGAGTTTCAATATCTTAATTTTTTTTTTCTTCAAATAAAATACGTCATATTAAAAATTGTATAAGAATACATCCTTAGGTAATAGCGGCATTCATAGAAGTAAACATCCTCTTGTAGTGTCGAACTCTTCTTTACATTGTACTCCGATATAAAATTGTAACAACAAATATGAATACATTACTATTATGATGTTGTAAATAAAATCAACAAATATTGCTCTGTTCTGTTTTTACACATTTGCGATAAATGCATTCAAGGAAGAAACAGATTACTAATATTTGAGGATGCGTTAGATATGATATTGAAATTCATCGAGATTGCAAGAGAGATTGCGAGATTGAAATACATCGACATGCTTTCTTGTGCCTCGAGTAGATACATTGAATTGCTCCCGATAAAAGCTAAAACATAAGATTCACTTTAGATGGTATCTTAAGTTGAGCAAGATCCCTAAAATATTAAATGTATATAAAAATGTCGTTAAATGTAGAAATCTTATACAATACTGGTCCAATACTAAGCAATAGTACAAATGATAACTATTGTTGTTTCCTATTCTTTATTATCTTTAATTATAACGATTATCATTGCAATTTCTTTGTGTATACAATTAGCATTATTTTTGCTTTACTTCAGCTGTTATTTAATACAAAATGCGACCTTATAGACTGATGTACAATAAGGAGCCATCATATTATATATTACCACTTTGTAAATCTTGCTAACGATGGAGGTTGATATTTTTTCGATAAGCTTTAAGGTGTTATGAAAGGGTCCCCGCCCACGCGCGCACACACACACACACGCGCGCGCGCGCACGCGGGAGGGGGCCACGTACAACTTTTCTCTAAACTAGGTGCACCAAATCATTTGAAACTTGAGCACGTGATTATGTGGAGACCCTAAGAAAACGTGATGCCCATCGAATATCATTAAAAAAAGAAAAATGTATTTAACTCAGAATAGAACCAAGCACACATTTTTTTGTAATGAAATTTCATGAACATCCCATTCTGTCTTAGGATCTCCATAATCATGTGCTGAAGTTTCAAATGGTTTGGTGTACCCAGTTTGAAGAAAACTTTTATAAATATTTTGACGTTTTGATACATGGAATGACCCTTTCGTAACATCTTAAAAAGGTGAAGGAATAGAATGCATAAAAAGTAGTAATTACAATACAAAAAATTCAATTAAATCGTGAAATCAACTGGAGGGTATTTCATGGGAGCAAAGATGAATTAATTAAAAAATAATTAAACATAACTTGAGTTATTAAAACACACGATATAACGGAGCAGTTCGATCATGACTTATTCTGAAAACGATTAGACGACAACAGGTGAAAGTGCCTCTTTTTGATTTAATTCAAACGGTTTAACGGAATTTTTTTCAATGTACACTTTTAATTTATTCTTGAACTCTTCTTTAAGTAGGTAATTAATTCTAGGTCAATTAATATAGTGCGGCAATTAATGTAGTCCGTATACGTGAACACTGGATAGGTATATTATTGTAACGGTATATTTTTCCACGAAATCGTGCTTCATTTGGATGTTATTAGGAAATTAATTTGGTAATCGAAATGCTTAATATTTCTTCTGTTTCAATGGACATGATTTTTTTTATACGGCAATTCCAGTCACCTATTTATATACATGTGCTCATATATATGTTTTAAGATAAGTAATTCTATGGAAATCAACATTTCAAACTAAATCGCAAAATAAAATGATGAAAGTGTACATAAATTTAATTTCTGTAAGAAATGAAAGCTCGATTTTAACATGTTGACTATCGTGTCACGCGGATCTGTGACACGTTATATTAGAATTTAGAAGCGGAAATGTAATTAGGAATCAACGCAATTAATAAAATTCATTACATGTGTGCTTCGTGCATTTCTTATCAATATTTATTTATTGTACCTGTTTTAGTTAGTGACATGGCGGCTTTCTGTTCGTCATAATATAAGGTCGGAGCGGCGCACGGTAAGTACTCATCAATTCGTCATTCCTCCGTTTCTGAATAATGTGAAAAAAACAGGTCTTTGAAGCTTGCACCATGACCTGAATTATGGACTATTTCTGGGTTCACAAGAGCAGAAAGAAGATAAACGTTGGGCTCTTACTCTTTACGAGAAAATGATTACGGAAGCTAGCACCCAAATTAGAAGAGAATTTCAAGATCACGAACGCGCTTTAATGTAATAAAATTACAATCTTTAGGACATAACCGGCTTCCATCGTCGAATTATCACAAACTGCTCAACTATGCATGGTACAAGAGCGGATATCTAAACGAATGGCCAGATGGTTTTCAAGATCCCGTTGCCTTTGCATTCTACCCGATCCTCTCTGCGTGGGGGGACTCCGCAGGCCTTAGGTACAACCACGCACGGCACATCACTGACCCTGTCCCGGGCGTGAAACGAAATCTCGATCTAGCGGACGACCCCCCGCCACCGCGTCCCGCGGAAGTCCGGCAGAGGGATCTCGAATTCGCTTGAGGTCTCCCCTTACCGGCCGCGGGCCGTGCTCCAACTCCCAGAATGTGACCGGTGCTCCGGATCTTCCTCTTCGCGTCCACCCGCCCTCAAGGGTCCGCGTTTCCTCAAAATGGCGGCCTGCCCCCGTACCTCGGAGGCCCTCGGCCCGGAAAGGGCACCGCTTTGGACCGTCACGTTGCAGTTGAAGTCCGTTAAACGCTATCTTGAGAATTATACGAAATGAAGAGTTCCATATGCCATTTCAGTCAAATAATTATAAAGCGGTAGAAGTAAAACTGTAGAAATCCCGTCGATTCACGATTTTTTATAGTGTAATAGACCAATGGCGCCATTGGTGATGATAGCTGCAATTCAATTTTTCTTCTAGGAACATGTATTACCCACGGAACAAGGTAACATTCCCTTGCAATCGTTCATTAAAGTATTTTCCATATTTTCCTATCTGACTCCGTAATGTTGCATTTCTAAAGTATTCCACATTGTTCGAGCTAGGTCCTGAAACTCTTCGGTTTCAATTGTAAGCCTTCAAGAAGCGTAAAACCTACCATACAGACTTACCATAGGGCTTCCATATTCACGTGGTAGAATTTGAAACGAATCGGTACACCCAATTCGGAGAATACTTTTACAAACGATTTTAGCTGTAAGATATAAATAGGCTGACCCTTTCGTATCACCAACGTTTCGTATGGCCAACGTGCTTCTGTCGGGCTCTTAACCGTGTTTTATCATAGGTTTAATTAGTATTCGAGTTCTCCACGTTCGTCTATTCCTAATATTCTCATTTATTTACATCCTTAGGCACAATAAGCTTTAGCCTTGCTCGCAACACGTTTAATCGTTTAATGACACATAATATGATGTAGGTTTTACTAAGTAAGCGAGTAGCTACAAGACGGACAATTTGAAAATTTATTTAGATCGATCATACCTGTAGTCGGCTACTTTTCCAATAGAATTTGTACCTTTTCTGCAATGACAGTTATTTAATCATCCCAGTCGTCATCGTCACTTGACCCACTAACGGAGTCTTCACTTTCACTGTGTATAGCACGTGATCTCTCAGCTAAAGCCCTGGAAAGTGCGCCAGCAATTCCATCCTCCATCACAGCTGACGGAATTGACTTAGGCTCGTTCACGACTGGTTTTAATTCCACCCCTTGCCGTATTTGGTGAAGCAAATCATTTCTTAAATCACCAGTTGGTGAAGGTCTTGAATCAGTTTTATTTACCTTCTGAAATGCAACAAAATAAATATCATCGATATACATGCCAATATCAATGAGCACTTATATACGTCGGTAAAGAGATTTAATTTATAAAAGAAGCTTTTAAATATCATAATCTAAAAATTCTGTTAACAAGAATATGATAATGTAGCGAACTCTGGCTTTCTCATGTTTCAAACTGGGTCTCTTATTTAAGTTACATGCTTTGTAATTTCATGAATTTTAAGATTGTTTACATAATACACCTATATAAAAACCACACAACTGCTTGACACGGATTATTTTACTATTAAAATATTTAATATATTCAATAACCGATTACAAAAGTGCTCCGTTTGAAGGTTTTTATTTTTCTTTTTTTTTTTAACCTTTGCGGTCTTCACAGTTAAAGAATTAAGAAGTGAAAAGAGAGAAGAGTGTTAATCAGGGTCATACATACCTTAAGAGTTGTACCGCTTCTTATTGATTCCATAAGCATATCCCTTGGCTTTAAGGATTCTCCATTATTACTAGGGGCGTAATTCGTAGGATTGGAAATGCAAGATTCACTGCTGTTTTCAACAGAAGCGGGCAACGGAGGTGGTGGAGGAGGAATTGGAGTGTCACCTTCCGTATCACCTTTGCTATAACCAGGTAGTGGCGGTGGCGGTGGTGGTGGCGGAGGAGGAGGAGGTGGCGGTGGTGGTGGTTGCGATGGCACCGGAGGTGGAGGAACAAGTGGCAGCGATGGCGCAGGCGATACCAATGGAGCAGAAGGCCGAGATGGTAGAGGCCGGTGTGCCGGAGGTGCACATGGAGGAGGAGGTGGGGCGTTTATCCGCGCTGGAGGAACCGGAGGTCCACTCCTAACAGGATGATCCTGCGAATTCAGAAAAAGAATGTACGTATTAATTTATCGATGAATCCGACGTTACAGGGATACAGCTGCTTGACACAAAAATTACAGTGCTGCGATTGCCACGGCACGGCACAGCAATAGCGTTTGCTACGTCACAAGTGTTGCCGCTGCTTGCCGCTACGTGGCAGCATTGAACGGATTCAAAGACATAACCGGTATCCCTCAAGTGATACCTGAACGATTTAATGTTCTACGAGATTAATGACCTTTATTTGTACCGTCACCGTGACTTGATTACTTACGCCAGTTGAAGAAGAGTTTGTACCGATGGGCATGATTCTAGCTGGCACAGGTGGAGGACTGTCCGAATGAAGCGGAAGAGGCAATGGTTGGGTATTACATCGATCGTCGGAAACCATCGTCTTTAAAACTTCGTTAAAACCACCGTGATGTTCTATGAAGCTAAATATGAATTCTCGTGTTTTTCGATCGTTAAGTTCCCGCTCCGAAACACCTGCTTTATTAAAAAATTCCTTTAATCGCGGATCCTTGGTGTCTAATTCAATGCCTTTATTGTTGGCATTCCAACCCATGTGCGTTAGGTGTCTGCAAGGTAATAAAAACAATAAAAATGTTTAACTAAATAAAAATGAAAAGTTAATTCATCTGAAAAAGTGCAATACATAGTTTCAACCTAAAGTTAGAAGGAAGACTAATGTCTTCTTTTGTTAGTCTCCTTTTCGAAGAATTTCGATTCTTCATATACGAATTGTATAAAGATCCACTGGAAACGCTAATATTTTCTCGCATAGATGATGAACCGTTTGGTAAATTTGTTGCACTCCCAGGTGTAATATTGAGCGACAATGAACTGCTGTAGCTCTTTCTCGGCAATGTTATACCACGTTGGGCTTCAGCTTCCATTTTTGTGCGTCTTTCTTGCCTCCGTTGTCTTTTGATATTAAGCTTCTCAAGGAGGATGTTTCTAAAATCCAAAATATCGTATTTTTCGGGTTATCCTGATAATTAAGAACAAAAGGTGCAAACTACATAGCTATAATGATATTTCACGAAGAAGATCCAGAATAGTAAAATCGTAATGAAGAAAATGACCAAAGACTCCAATTTTCATATTCCTTCTGGTACAACTGATAATTAGCAGTTGATCAGTGTTTATAACGGTCAGTAATTGCTACACATAACCGTACTAGTTTCAATGAACAAATTTAACCTTCCATTGCCTTACTGAAGGTTCGGTCATGAAAGATATTCTATCTTGGAACAAATGTTTTAGTAACGATAATATTTCAAGTTACACACAATGACTTGACACTATAATGTCGATTAGTTACATATATTTATGTAAGTCTTGATGCTACTGCATAGAAAGTGCCGAAGTTTTATCTTTAGAGATACATAACGTCAGAGGCGGATCTGGAACTTGGAATACCTGGGGCATCGGACCAAATCTGTGCCCCCATTTGGTAAATGTTTCTCTGGCAAATAAACAGATAAAAGACCATGAAAAGAAATGCACGATGCATTGTCATTTAATAATATGTTACGCAACTCCTTATCGAGTACGACTTGGCGGATCCGCGTTTTATCAAGGGATGAAATCTCTTTTTCTAAGTATAATATTCGACTCTGGACAGAGTCCTCAGTAAAAGTATAGCATTATCGTTTCTTTTAAGTTGTATTATAATATATCTCCAAATCGTTGCAAATGGAAAATGCAGAAGTGTATTAATTACAAAGTGGAAGCGCAATTGAAAAGGCTAAAAAGGTGTGGTACGGTATCGTGAGACCATAACACGCAATCAATTTTCAAAACGTCAGTCTATTGAATTTCGGTATTATGGAATTTTGAGCACGGATCCGCCAAGTAGTACTCGATAATGAATCACTTAACGTTTCATTATTAAATGACAATGCATCATTAATGTCAATGAGTAGCAGTAAGATAAAAGAGTGACGATAGGGTCAAAATCCGTAAATGAAGAAACTGAAGTAGCATGGTAATGCCAGAGAGACTTCTAATGAGAAACAGGCACGGAGAATTTATGTACTTGGATTGGTAATATGATTTGAATTTAGAAACATAATTTAGAATATAAACACGACCTTGTACTCGGCTAGGTTCTTTTACACAAAGATGTTTTTGAGGTCACATTTATCATACTACATCATATTACGTGGGTATATACTTTCATGGAAAAAAATAAAACTACAATTACATGTGACAAACAGTGCATCGAGCGAGAATCGAACCAATGCCTTCGGCGATCCAAGACCTAGCAGCTTTTCCATTAAGCTCTCAGCTGATTCGAGAATCGCTATAACCCATGTTCATGTAAAGTATGTACCAAATGTTTAAACGATTATTTCATAAAAATTCCCGAAGGGTGCGTACTATCCATTTGGCAAATAGTGTTATACATTGAGAGCTAAAAAATAACAAAGTATTGCGAAAATCTGAGATCGCATCTGGTCCTCCCCTTGGAAGTACGTCATAATGTTGTCTTACCTCAGTGTAACTGCATCTGTAACACTCGCGAAATTAAATGCGGTCATACAGTCATCACCCTCAAAGGTATGAAAGTATAATCTGGGAGCCTTGTAATCCATGGAATTGTAAACCTCATGCTCCCACAGCATTGCTTTTCTTTGAATACAATATAAGCGGAGAAAAAAATTTCTTTTAAGATTGTCCCTGATTAAAGTTATTATTCCCGATGACTTCTTTAACCATTCTCTATGAATGGGAGGCTCGGTTAAGTATAACTGAATGACTCCTGCTGCAAGGCACTGAAAAATATTTTAATTATCTGTATTATACAAGGTTTGTTAGTTGAATAAGCACTTTTAGTTTTTAAGTTTAGAGTTAAAAATTCTAAACGCAAGTAGACGATACTTGTTCATCCATGTTGAAATGTATGCAACCGAGTATGTACTCGGTACCGAACTCTAGCAAGTTTCCTGATTCTTTGTATCTAAGTGAAACAGTTTGTACACAAAAATTCAACTCATTAAATACTTCTGCTTTTTGAGAGTGTTTTCTTAAAATGGAAATACTTTGATAGAACTTAAATTAATTCATATGAAACTAAGTTTCAATTCAACAAAACCTGTCAAGAAATTTAATCTGTGTCGATAGAAAAGATATTTCTAAATACCTACATTATCAATTGTCCTATTTATATCGACAGCTGTATCGTATTACATTGAGTATCGTACCAAATAGCATACCCCATATGTCGTTTATATACAACGATTATAAAGAAATCAAAGTAACGAAACTTCAGAAATCTTTAGGATTTGTGTTTGATATTCCAACTGCAGAGACTGCCTTGCGCAATCTGAACAGTCGTGGACAACTAAATTTCCTATTTGAGACCTCATGGTACTTCTGTCTTAGCACAGAATCCCATAACACTTTTTTGCCTTTATCATGTTTAAATGTAAATTTCGAGTACTAGAGCGTTCTAAATCGTTATAATCGAAAATAACTAAAACGTTTTATAATCTATAGTAAAGGAAAAACCGGAATATTTTGTAAGTTGAAAGTTAATCAGTTTTATGCAATTTGAAATATTACAAACGAAAAATGTATCCGATTTTATTAGCATATCTAAGCGCTTGAACTACAGCTGGGTAAAATACCCTGGGTGGAGTTCCGAGACACGCATATCTCCGATTAACTTTATGCGATTCATCAAATATTTTTTTGGATCATTTAAGTACACATAAGAAACAAAATACACCCTACCCAAGAAAGCACAGGTAAACAAAAGCGGAATTGTCAAAATTAACAAATATTCTACCTATATATGTACCCAATACCGATCCATTTTATAGCCACGAAGTTAACGTCAATAAGTCATTCTTAAAGAATTTTTTCCATTACAGGAGAAAATTAGCACGTCATTTGCAGAATCTAGGTCACTTAGAAAACAGCTATGATGAAGAGTAAACGTGAAGAAGTTTCCTAAATGAATACCTGACACCGATTTCCTATCAGCTGAAAGACTTGTTCGTTTTCCTCCGGTTTGAGCAGAACGGATCCCCTATTCTCGAAGGAGCTTCCCGACTTCATTTTTCCCTCGGAGGTTATGTATTTTAAAGTTATGCGTATGCTATGGCATAGGAAGCTTTCGATGTCTTGTCAGTACAGGTAACTAAATACCCACTGATCACATTTTCTCGCCATTCGAAATCCTCGCATGGATACGCATCAATTTCCTACGAAGCCCAACAGCAACACTGGACAACACCCACAAAGAGCATGAAGTAAAGAGAATTAGAAAGAGCGGAAATCACTGAAATATGTAGTAAACTGGAACACTTGCTACTCTTATGTTACCAAGAGAGGTCGATGGCGCTAGTCGATGAGTTCGACCCATGGGCGCAGGAATATATGGACATATATGGAAGGGGCCCAAGTCAGCTAGGTAATCAAAATCTTAGCTTCCTCCGATTGGCTGAGATTCAGTTGTTACTTTAAGAGCAGCGAGGAAAGAAAGGTGCAAACTGTGAACGGATGAACAGGAAGTGAAGTACGATATGCCACTTGTAGCAGAAAGAAGGTTAAATATTATGTTCTACGTAGAGGAGTGGTAAAAAGAAATAAGTTAGAGCAAACAGGAAATATGAAGAATGGTGACCTACCAATCGGAAGCCTTAAAAATCAACACAACAATCTGGCCGTCCTACTCCTCCCTTTCCGACGCGGCGGCGTCCCTTCGCGGGTCTAAGATGGGACTTTTGATTCCGTCCATATATTCCTACGTCCATTTTTGAACCCGGTACCAATTATAACGCAGGATGTGTAAATTACTGAAATATATAGCAAACGGGACAGCCTGCTTTTCTACATACAGTCCAATGACAAATTAAGTTTGGCCCTAACACTGCACGATGCCACTTGTTAATGCAGAGATGAGTTGGGAGATTGCTCACGTGCAGGGTCGCGCGATCGCACCGTGTGCTGCCCTCTGAT